ACAAACTTTCACTATCAAAATCCAAGATGGCTGCCTGTCGGCCATGTTGTTTATCCGATCAGTCTCAAAAGTTGCTCTGCACAGCTCAGGACTAAGGGGAACCTGCATATATAATTTGAGAAATATCCCTTTAGTACTTCTTGAGAAATAGCGATGACAAACTTTCACTATCAAAATCCAAGATGGCTGCCTGTCGGCCATGTTGTTTATCCGATCAGTCTCAAAAGTTGCCCTGCACAGCTAAGGACCAAGGGGAGCCTGCATATATAATTTGAGACATATCCCTCTGGTACTTCTTGAGAAATACCGATAACAAGAATTGTTTACGGACGGACTACGGACGACGGACGGCGGACAACAGACGGACGACGGACGACGGACCACGGACGCAGGGTGATTTGAATAGCCCACCATCAGATGACGGTGGGCTAAAAAAGTGTTGTATGAAAAGCACAATAATCTTTTCGTGACATAAGACCGGTATGGGAAACAGACACGGCGTTTTTAGTAAGACCTCATGGTGATAGACAATGAAAAAACACGAAATCTAAATATGGAGTCTTACAATGAAACTGCTATGGAAACCTAGATAAGTCGTATTTGAAGAATCTTCACAGAGAAAAAAAACACCAAATCAGATGTTTGACCTACTTTTACTTTCATTGACACGATCATCATAAAGGAGTGGTAATTTCTTTTCTTTAAATTCAATGTCTCCTCACTTCCTGTTTCTCTCCATGTGTATCGTCTTCATTGTCGATATCACTTCCTGTTACTCTCCATGTGTATCGTCTTCATTCTCGATATCACTTCCTGTTTCTCTCCATGTGTATCGTCTTCATTCTCGATATCCAGGGGTTATGCAAACGTTTGCTCTCTACACGTGTAGAGAGTGAAAGTGAGCGTAAGTCCTGGGTATCCAGGATGTATCGTCTTTGGCGTGAATATTTTGCCAAAGACAATGTTATAGGGAACATCTATCAGTCCGTTTCAGCAGTTCATTATAATAAGGTAGCGAGTCTTTCAAAATTATTAAGGATCTTCTTTCTATTTTCATTTTCGTATCAATGATTTAATATACATGTATATATTAGATGGACATAGACCATAACCTTTTTATCAGTTTCTGCCCTGTTTTTGTTATAGACGCCGCTGAAGATTCGAGGAAAGAAAAGGCCAGCTGTATCACACTTTATTTCATGTGAGGCGATTAATGTCGGGTTCCCAGAATAATCGGGTTTTTTCTTTGTGTCTTCTACCTGGGGGATATACAAGTAATCAAAGTAGATATGTTGCTCCAATTACAATACTTGGGATCTATTTCTTTTCTTGTCCCCCCCCCCCCCCCCCCCCCCCCCCC